GGGGGGGGGGGCCTGGGTGAGGGTCAACACAGGGCAGGCACACGGCCAAGGTGAAGGGCAGGTCAGAAAGAGAAGGGGGCCCGGGGTTCCTTTGGGCAAGGCCAGGATGCGCGTGGGAAGGTGCTGGCGGAAGGGCACCACTCAACTGGTGCCTCTCACCTGGCTGGGCACAGACTTCCTGGTGGAGAAGGACCAGGAGTACTGTGTGTGTGAAATGCCCTGCAATCTGACCCGCTATGCCAAGGAGCTGTCCATGGTCAAGATCCCCAGCAAAGCATCAGCCAAGTACCTGGCCAAGAAGTTCAACAAGTCTGAGCAGTACATAGGGTAAGCGCTCTGGCTGTGCAGGGCGGGGCCCTTGGGCCGGGACTGTGAGGGGTGTCAGCAGGCTTTGGTGGGGCCAGCAGACAAGAGGAGGTTGACTCTGGGGTGAGGAAAGATCCAGTCCAAGTAAGCAAGGAAAGCGCCTCTCTCCTTCCTCCTCGCCTCACCGTCCATTTTCATTCTTGCTGTAACCGGGCCACCTCACACTTGCTAGTGTGCGGAGCGTCTTTTCATATATGCCATCGCATCCGATTCTCACAACAACCCTAAAAGGCAGGTATCCCCATCAGCATCTCATTTGATGGATCTGGAGACTGAGACTCAGAGAGGATAACTTGCTAAAGTCACCTAGCTAGCAAGGGACAGAGATGTGACTTGAACCTAGGTCTCCTCCCCCAACCCCTTTACAGGGAGAACATCCTGGTGCTGGACATTTTCTTTGAAGTCCTCAACTATGAGACCATTGAACAGAAGAAGGCCTATGAGATTGCAGGGCTCCTGGGTGAGCTGCTGATGGCACCTGTCCCCTTCCCATGTCATGGGCACGGTGTGACACCCTACCACCCAAAGCAGGCTGCTCACTCTGTCCCATGAGCTCTTCCTCCTTAGCCATCACCAGGGGCTTTTCCCCAAATTGTGCTGTCTTGGTATGTTGTGGAGGGAGGGGCTGAGCCTCCTCTCAGAGCAAAGCGGAGGAGATATGCCTGTGGTCATGAACGGGGGACTATTTCATGCGCCCTTGAATATTTTCCTAGAGAGTAAGAGTGTTGGGGTTTCATAAACAATTATTTTTTTCTGAATAACACCTATTCATTTTAGAAAAGTAGGGGAAAACACACAGAAAGGCATGGAGAAGAAAACAAAGACCCCATCAGAATCACTTTGCGCTCCTTCTGGGCAAAGGCTCTGGATCCTTTGCACTTGTGACTTGCCTGCCCCTGTCCCAGTGGGCTCTGCGGCTCCGACGGGGTCTTGATCCTACTGACGTCCCTGTGCCCCCCTACAGGTGACATTGGGGGCCAGATGGGGCTGTTCATCGGGGCCAGCATCCTCACAGTGCTGGAGCTCTTTGACTACGCCTACGAGGTAAGCGGGGGTGGGGTGCCAGGGCGGGGCCGTGGAAGGGGGGGTGCTAGGCCGCCCACACACCCACCCACCGCCCCGCGTGTGCCAGGTCATTAAGCACAAGCTGTGCAGACGAGGGAAGTGCCAGAAGGAGGCCAAAAGGAGCAGCGCAGACAAGGGCGTGGCCCTCAGCCTGGATGACGTCAAACGACACGTGAGGAAGCCAGAGACGGGTGCCCCCGGGCCCCGCCCCTTCCCCCGTCACCCCTGGACCACGCNCTTTCCTCTTGTCTGCGGTGAGGAAGGAGGCTTGACCATAGAGTACTCTCCCTGTCTCTATCCCATTCTTTTTATTTTTAACAAAACTAATCTAAAAAAGAAACTAAAAAGAGAGAACTGGGCAAGTGACCTCAGGCTGCCCCTCTCTGCTCCATGCTGCCTCCCCCAGCTCCCAGCCTGAATTCTGTCTGTCTGGTTGTCTGTCATCTGAGTGTCCACCTACATTCTGCTGCCACCAGTCACCCCCCTAGTGGGGGGTGGAGGGGATCATTCGGATCTGGAATTTGGCCCTAAACCAGAGAATGTATCTTGAAGGGGAGGGATAGTGGTGGTGGTGGGGGCTTCCCCAGCCTTAAGAGACCCTCTCAGCCCAGTGACCACCTCCCAACCCCAAGCCTCCAGGCAGAAACTAAGACCTTAGTCCCCTCCATACACACACCGTGTGAAGTCACTAGGGAGGTGGGGGTAGGGATCCCCTGAAGAGGTGGAAATGGGGACAAGATGTGGCCCTGGTGCTGTAGGCCACATCCTGATATCTACAAGTTCACCCCCACTCCAGAGATGCTGGAGAGAATTCCCAAGAGGCAGCCCTGCTCTACCATCCCATAAAAGATCCAGCTGGTTGGCTTCCAGCTCAGGGAGAGGGGCACTGGTGCCTAACTTCACTGGTCCCGCTCCCAGGGGCCCCTGCAGAGGGCCACATCCATAAATTTTCTTATGGAATCCTCCCAAATCCTCTTCCCCAATGTCATTTGCTTCTCTCAACAACCTCATCTGCATTTTCTATTTCTATATGATACAGACTCTATATTGCTATATCTCTGTATATACTTTCCCCTAACTCTGTCTGTCTCTCCCCATCCCCTCTTGTTTCTAAGAACCATCCTCCCACCCCAAGTACCCCTTCCCATGTTTCTGCTCCCTCCCTGGTCTCTGAATGCCTTCACCTGTATAAAGAGTTGGACTCTCTCCCCTGGTGTCTGTACTGTGTACACACATCCCTCTGAGAAGCACAAGGAGACGACACGCGCATTGTAACCTTCGCACTGTCTCGGTGGCGACATAAAGGAAGCTGTGAATCACAAGCTCTGCCTCTTTCTGGCTCACCCTCTCCCCTAACCTGGGCATCCTCTGTCCTCCCTGTAGCCTTAATGTTCCCTCCCCTGCTCCCCCCCCCC